CCGCATTCTTCGTCCACAAGGCAACTAACACAGTCACCCCTGGCAGTTCACCCAAGTCCACTCAGCTGAACACTTGGGAAAGGAAGAAAGAGAAGGAACAGCAGAACGAGCCACCACCTTCCCCCAGAACGCACTGGGATTCTCCCTCAAATCCATTTCTTCACTGACCACGGAGGAGCTACTGTTCCTACCCAGCGGTACTAAAATCTGTGAGGACAATGCACTTAAGGAAATAAAAACCAATTCATTATAAAATTGAGGAGGAATGAAGGGGGTTGTTAAGACTGCTTTTTATAGTTAAACACAATTCATCCCTATCAACAGAAGTGATTTTTACTAGGCAGCAAAGTGTGGCTATTGATTAAGAATTTGACTTTTCTCTGGAATTCTGCCAAGGATAGGAGATAAAACGTTATTTTCTCAGTAGAGGAATCAAGTAAATAAACTTAAACTAAGTATCAGATACAGATGATTTACATCATGGCAGCTTCAAATACATCTTGCACTTTCAGTTAGAAACAAACCCCAAATTTATCATAACCTTTAAAAGGTCTAGAAAGACCATCCTAATCACTTATTTTTAGCATGCATTTGAGGAATATATTTAAACCGCAGGCTTCATTCTGAACAGAACCACCTCTGTCACTTATATCTTGGTGAATCATTTAAATCATTAAATGGCTTCATTTGAATCTTGGACAGTTAAACTGCAAAGGGAAAAATACAATATCCCGTGTCAATAAGTCAATTTACAAGGTCTCAATGAAAAGTTTCTTTGAATGACTGTTTTACTGCTCTTTGATTTCTTGAAAGTCACGGGATTATTTTTAACTCTCTCTCTACTTTCTTCTAAAACTCAGCCTCACTGCCACAGAAAAAGGAGAAACTGACATTCACTCTCAAATTACATTTTATTCAACTCCCTTTTTCAAAATATTGAGGGTAACAAGGACCGAATTTGTAAAACAATAATTATTGGTGCTCATAAAGAGCAAAGCTGCCAGACTTCTAAATATACACAGATGTAGCATGGCAAACTTGCAGGCCAGCTTAAGGCCTCCATTTATGTAGTATTAGAAGGATAAATATAAAGAAAAGCTTCATATCAAAACACAGAAATATGAAATCATCATATCAAAACACAGAAAGACATGCATGCTGCTCTGTCGCTCAGTAACAGACTCAATTCTCTTCATATATTCCACTGGAAAGAAAGGCTGTAGCCAGAGTCCAGAATAAGACCTAATAATGAAAGAAACCCAACACGATGGGCCGTGACGCTTCAGAATAACCACAAACCTTTATTCTCTGCACATTCATCTAATGCCAACCTAAAACATGCCAGGCAGGTTAAAAATAATGCATTTATGTAAGTACCCCCCCCACACACACACACTCTTGCAAGGTTAAATAGAGAGCTCTGAAAGAATGATTTATTGCCACAAGAACAGAGCCCCAAAATAGATTGGCAATAAAAGTGATTGGTCCCAGTAGGGTTGAGAACTAATGTAAGCAAAGTCCTGGCCATTAGAGGCCTCCAGGAAGAGTTGGGGGGGGGAGGCAGAGTGGGGGCGACAGGACTTCCCGGCCCTGACCCCACCTCTACCAGAGTTCCACTCTGAGCAAGGCACTCAATCGCCTTAGAAGCCTGATTCCTTTTCGGGGGGGGGGGGGGGGGGAGGAACACCTGAACTAACTCATATCTGTGATTCCCCTCCCCTTTTTTTTTCCTTTTAAAATCTGCTTTATCTTTTCTGGAGCTGAGGTCTGTGCAAAGGAGAAAAATGAAGTTTGAAATACACAAATACGCGGAAAATCTCAGCTGCCCTTTAACACACCATCACCACCTACTTCTGCTCAATCCAATTTGACACTAATTGACCCGCCTGCTGGTGCCAGGTTTATAATAAGGCGAATCAGGACTGTCAGAATGGATAGGTAGTTTCCATGCCAAGGACCTGAGTGGGGAATGGAATAACAACATACAAGGTAAGACCTTGAGTGAGGTGGACTCTGGGTGCCACCAAGCCAAGGCAAAGGGCAATCACTGCTCTGGAGCCATGAATTACCTAAAGAAAAGTGGAGAATAACCATTAAGTGCTGGGGGCTCAGCAGGAACCACAGAATCTGAGAGAGGGAAACAGCCCCTGAGCCATTCCCCCCCACCCCTCTCCAAATGCAAAAGTCCTAACCTCAGCACCCAACTCAACTCTGGCAGGTGGCAGCGCCCCTACTTGACACTTCAGTAATGGAAAAATCACATGGCAGCCCATTCTATTCCTGAACTGCTCTAATTGTTTAAAAAGTTCTATTAAGCTGAAGTCTTTCTCCTTCTTTCATCCTACCATGGGTACCAGTTTTCAATCCATGACTACAAAGTTAAAATTTAATGCAGGACTGGGAAGGAATAAAAAGAACGAAAGAAAATAAGGTAGCCAAGCAAACAGTTCGAAGGCTGAGAAAAGAAAGGCAACCAACAGAAATGCTTTGTCTAAGACATGTTGGCAGTGTTGTGCCAGGCTCTTTCTGGAAAAATGTTCACACCCTAATTTGTCCACTGCAGTCAATGAGAACCATTTTTCTGTGTTTCTACACCTTAGAAAAGAATGTCAGATTTTACTGATGGGCTTGGCCTCTCCATTCAGCCATCCATATTCAATCAAAGTCGCGGAGGAGGCTCCCCTGCCTGAGCCACTCTACCAGGTGAGGTCCCTTCCCACATTCCTCCTGCTTCATCTGTCCTGACTGTCCAAACGCCCACCCCACCCCCACAAATCCAACTGAATGGTCCCTCTCTACCCTCTGCTAGACATCACTGTCCTAGATGCTGCAGCCAAGATCTAGGTCAGGGATTCAGAGCTGCCCAAAGGAGGGAAAAACACTTTAAAAAGATGTTCCAGACTACCCCCGGGATGGGACAGTGCAATTGCTACTTAAAATCCACTCTGGCTCCTGATTCCAAATGAAAGAACTAAAAGCATGGTTTGTCATATCATTTTGGAGGGTGGAAGAAAGGAGCAAACCAGTGAGAGCACTGCCTGCTTTTGCCCAAAACTGAGAATGAACAAGAGCCAGGGCCTGGAAGCAAGCACGGGCATCGGCATTAGGCACGGCCACCACCAGACTTAGCTCCTCAGATAAATCCTGGGAAGAGCTACACTGACAGGGAGCCAGTTTTCTGCGGGCATCCAGTCCAACCTGATGTGTTTGGGCTCTTCTGAGCAAAAGAAGTAATTTCTTGACTGTGCATAATAAAGATGTAAGAAAGTCTGGTCTCACAAGCACCAAAAATTCCATCTCCAGGGCACAGGAGCCTTTCTAACAGAGAGAAGCCGAATTCTGCGCAGAATCTATTATTCTGTGACAGGTGGAAGAGACAGAGAAAAGACAGGCTAGACTTTAGCTTCAGGGCATGAAGGGAAGACGTCCCAGTTCTATTAAGAGGTAAGATGAGGCTGCTCTATCGGGCTAGCTGCACACATCCCCCCCCCCAAAAGGCTTTCATTTGAAGGAGATGATGTTTTCCTATACCGTTGCTTTCTGCGAGGACCTCACGCGGAGAGGGAGCACTAGGAAGTGTATTAACCCCAAGCTGACACAGTAGAGTCGGCGTATGTCACTCCTAGCCACATCCAATCTGTTAAAATGACTCAAAAATAGCCCCGCTTGCAAAGATCAAGAAAGCGAGGGGAAGACAGTACTAAACCAGGTACCTACTGACACTGCTAACTTCTGCCATCGCCCTCCCGCAGCCAGCTGCTCCTTGTGACCCGGATTACCGGATTTGAAAGGGGCCACGAAGAAACGTGAGCCGCCGGCCCCCGGCGCGCGCCCCATCACAGGCCGTCCCCCCGACGTCCCAGCCCCGTCGTCCTCCCCGGGGCTGCCACCAGCACTCAGCACACGCCCTCCGCTCAACAGCCCCAGCCCGGTCGCGGACCTGGCCTGCCCTCCTCGGCTCTCCAGCGCCGAGTCTGCATCCTCCCCGCCCCGCGCTGGCCCGCTCGGCATGCGCTCCGGGCTGCTGGCCCCCCGAAGCCGCCGCCACCACCGCCGCCGCCTGCTCCTCCGCCGACGCCCGGGCGCGCTAGCAGACCGGACTAGGCGGGGGGGGAGGAGGGGCGCGGGGGCGCGGGGGCGCGGGCTCGACTCACGCGGGATCTGGGCCCGGGCGGTAGGTGCCGCCACGGGGGTCCCGGGGACGCCCCGTCACGCCCCCCACGCCTTCTCCCCGCGGGCACCCCTCCTCGCCAGAGAGACACCGGGCCACCTGGCACTGCCTCCACCTCCAAGCCACCCAGGCAGTGCCCCGCGAGCGCTCGCCGCGCGCCGTCCTCCTGGGCCACCGCGTTCGCAGGTCTCCCACCCGGGCCGCCCCCGGAGACAATGGCTCACCAGCCTCCCGGCCGGCCGCGCTTCACCTCCCCCCTCCCTGGGCAGCGGGTGCCATGGCTGCCCCGTTTCACAGAAGCGTAGACAGAGGCCGGGGACGTAAGCGGCTAGGGAACCGAGCAAAGATACCCGGCTGCTAATGGGGTCGAGGAGGGGCCAGGCACAAATCGGCCACTGAGACCAACCCAGATGAGAGCCGCTTTCCCGGGTCCAGCCCCGCCACCCCGTCCGGGCCAGGGGCCTCCGCCCTCACCGTCCCCGCAGCCGATTCCTCGGCTCTCCCGCGAAAGAGACAAAGAGCCGGCGCCCCAACCCGTAGAGCGGTGGCCGCCGGGGACGGGTGACGGTTAGATTTTACCCTGGGACGAGGGGCGGGCACAGGGAAGGGCGAGTCCACGGCGTCCGGGCCGAGCCACGGCCCGCGGGGAGGCGCGGGCAGCGGGACACGCGGGTGTAGGTCCGGGAGACCGGGCGTGGGGGTGCAGTAGCCCGGGCCAGAGCGCGCCGGGCCCGAAGGACTGGCGGGCACCGGGCGCGCCGGGACTCCCGGACCGCGCCTCCACGGCGGGCTTGGCCGAGAGCGCGGGCAGCGCCGCAGTTGCACTCACCGGATCGGAAGAAGGCCGCGATGTCGGCCAGGTCCTTGGCAGCCTCCTCGGCCCCCTCGCCCGCACCGCCCCCGCAGCCCGAGCCCGCCGCGCTGCTCGTGGCGGCGGGGCCGGAGGACGCGGCGGGGGCGGCGGCGCCGCCGCTGCTGCCGCTCATGGCTGCGGCGGCGCCCGCGGCCGCGCCCGGCTCGGGCCCCGCACCCCTAGCGCCGCGTGCCGCCCGCTCCGCGCCGGGCCTGGCGGCGCCGAGCACCCAGCTGCCCGCGCCCGGCGCGCGGACGCAGAGCCCCGGGGCGGCAGCAGGCGGCGGCGGCGGCGGCGGCGGCGGCGGCTCGGCCAGGGGAGCGCGCCCACATAGACGAGGACTCCGCCCGGTAGCCGCGAGCGGGCCGCGGGGCGGGGACGCGGAGCCACGGCCTCGGCGGCGCCGGCCGGAGCGCGGGCAGCCGCGCGCGCCGCGCGGGACACGCAGTCGCAAGGGCGGGGGCCCGTGGCCGGCAGGAGCTCCGGGATCACGGGCGCCGGCGGGAGCTGCGAGCCTCCATCTTGATTTCAAATGGGGAAGGAAGGAGGGGGAGGGGGAAATCACGGCCGAGGGAACCCGGGTGAAAGGAAAAGGGAGAGCAGGGAAAGGAGAGGAAGGAAAAAAAAAGAGGGGCTTCGGGAATTTCCGGCGAACATCGTCAGGGGCCCGAGCGTGTGCTCGGCGGGTGGGCGGGGCCTGGCGGGAGGGGCGGGGCCTCGCCCGACGGCCGGACGCGCTGAGAGCCGGCGGGCGGCGGCGTGAAGGCACAGCTGAGCTCCCTGTCCTCCGCAGGGGCAGTTCCAACCTGGAAGGAGCAGGAACGCTCACCCCAGCTGGGGCGGACCTTTCCTGCCGCAAGCGCCGTCCTCCGAGCGCTCGAGCTCTTTATTACCGATCTCGCCCGCGGAAACGGGTGACTTGGGCACGGGGCTCGCACTGGCACGTAGAGCGGGCTCCAGAATAGTTGTTGAATGAACAGAGAGCTCATGGAAACAGCCCCAGAGGCGAGTGGGGCAAGCCTCTGAACTCCTGGGGGCACAAGTCTTCTCGTCTGTAAAATGAGATTCCTGACTCACAGCTCCTCTCGTCCTTAATCCACCAAAACGTTGAGAATGGGGAGGGTGATGGGGGCTGGGAAAACCAAAGGAAATGGAGAATGGGTGACACCCAGCTTTATGGAAGTTCTGTGTCAAACCAGAATCAAGTACAAAACGTTTTTGACGTGGCTACAAGAGGAGTGAGCAGAAGGGATGGATGTCAGAGGTTAAAGGAACCAATGCTGGGGAAAACAGGAGAGACAGAAACCAGATTGATTTTTTTTTTTTTAATGGACGATGAAACTACTGTAACGCATACTGGAAAGGAACAATTAAATAAATGAAGGGTGGATGGTGGACACGAGGTTTATTACCGTGGGAGAGGGAGGTTACAGATAAATAAGAGGAGGAAGCTAGAATGAGCCCTGCGGTACTGGGTTGTAGTTGGAGACCTCACTATGTACCCATGATGAGCTTGATATAGACAGAAATGGATAGATAAAAAGATTTACAGATACGTAAACATCTGTAAATATGTGTATATATGTGGGTTAGTACACATACATGTAATATCCTTGCTGTGTCAGCTGAGTGGACTTAGAAATAACACTCCAGGAACAAGGAGTGCACCTGGCACTGAGATCTTGCTTTTAACACCATTCTTCAGTAAAAAGAGGTCTCCTTGGGGAAATGGACTGCAGCAGGGAATATACAAGATGCTCCTGGAGCATCTTGTTGGGCCAGAAGGTAAGGAAGTGGTCAAAAAAATTTTTTTTAATCAACAACAACAAGAAGGAAGGAGCCTGTCAAAGGGACACAGGAGCCTATTGAAAGAGCTCCCAGTGGCCAAAGCTGGAACAATTTGAGCAACAAAATAAATAAAATAATACTTGATTATAACCCAAAGTATAAAATAAATATCCATGAGTCCATACTGACACAAATGATTAAATAAGTCAATAAATGGAGAGAACAACTCTCTTGTGAAGAATTTCAAATCGTTTATGTAGATACTCCGCCCTCAGTGAGATTAGTAATAGAAATCTCCTGTCCTTAACTATGGGCTGCACATAGTATCTTCCTTCCCAAGAGTAAAACATGGAAAGTGGGGAGAGTGACCTTCCAGTGGAGAAACCTGACAAACACTAATTTAGCCAGTGATCAAGGTTAGCATCAATAGTGAGAAACCATGTGGATGGTAGTATGTACCCTTGATACGATGTGAAGAAAATGGCACTTTACCTCTGTGGTCTAACTTCCAAGAATGCATACCCCAGTCTAGCGGTGAGAAAAACATCAGACAAATCCAAATTAAGGAACATTCTACAAACTGGCTGACCAGTACTTTCCCAAACCGTCAAGGTCTTCAAAATAACAAGAGTCAGAAAAACCATCACAGTCAAGAGGAGCCCAAGGAAATATGACAACTAAATATGGTATTCGTGATGGGATCCTGGAACAAGAGAAAGAAAGAAAAGAAGAATTAGGTAAAAACTAAGAAAATTTGAATAATATATGATACATGCCAATACTGATTTATTAATTGTGCATAATATAGGAAAACTTGATGTTGGGTATAGAGGAGCTCTGTACTATCTTCATAACTTTTCTGTACATTTAAATCTATTTTAAAATAAAAGTTTATTAAAAATTTTAATTATGTGTGCAGTATCTCAAAAAGAAAAATGCAATAGGTCCAAATTCCACAGGCCATCATGTCAGGTGTGCTGACAATGTTTCTTTTCCATATTTTTCTGTGGGGTAATTTCTGTCTCCATTTCCCATTCCTCATGGCAGAAGCTGAATCCTAGTTCAAGGACAACTCGATCTCTGGAAATGTTCTTTGTCAGTTGGGTAGCTACTCCCAGTCACTCAGGAAAACATTCAGGTGCTCACTGGGGAGCTCAGACCCACCTTCTCCACCCACCGTGCCCCAGAAAGTGAGGCCAAGTTCTCTCTGCTCCCAGGTCCCTCAAGCCTACCTGAGCACAGACTTCCCTTCTCAGAGACATCAGGATCTAATGCTATCCATCTCCTCTCCCCAAAACTGCAGAATCATTTTCTCTGAAGGAGTAAATCTCACTCTAGTTTCATCATGCTTTCTTCCAAATCTATTGTTTTTGGCATAACCTTTGTGTTCTTAAGGAAACTCAATTTTAATACTCAAAAACCCTTTACCTCCAATGATTCCTTCTGCCATGGCTTCCAGAAGTGTGTCTAGAAATTCAGAATCCAGGTGCTGATTTCTTTCTTTTCCTTTGCATCCCATCCAGAGTAACCGTCCCCTGAAGGTAATGAATACAGAGCCACCAATCCCCCACCCCTGCCTAAATGGTGGGAAAAGGTCAAAAATTTGAAAAATAAAAATTGCTGGGGTGGGGAGCTGTGGGTGGGAGGCAGATTGGAAATCATGCAGCCACAGAAAGATTGGCCATGTCTCAGTGCTGGTACGCCAGAAGGAACAACTGAAAAAGGATTATTCTGTTGGAGGGTTCTTGGGTGGAGGCAAGCTCTGGATGTTGGGAGTTGGCCTGACAGAGAATGTGCCTACATGGCAATGACTGCTAAGGGTGTGGGGGATTAGGGTGGAGAGGGAATGTATTTGGGCAAAAAGGTCTCTCTAGGGTTGAGCTCAAGGTATTGACCAATTCTATCTCAGAGACATTTCCAAGAGAATGATACAGAAGACCTGTGATTGAGTATGGGACATGCATGAAGGCTCACCCAGCTTGCAATAAGAAAAAGAGGCTGTGCACAGGTTTTTCCCTTCTGCCATCTGAGTATGTGTAGGGGGATCTAAACAGGGTTTCATGACAGCTGCTGTTGATCCTACCCAACCTTCAAAATGCAGCTCAAATTTCACCTCCTTTCACGAAGCTCCTACAGCAGTCAAACTCATCTCTCCCTTCTCTGTATTCTGCAGCCCCAGTCGTGCTGGCCTTTGATCACGTGCTGCATTATATTATTTACATCGTTCCTGTTTAATGTCTTGCCTGCAAAATGAGGAGATCCTTTGCAATCAGCATGCCAGCATGGGCATGTCTCCTGTGTGCCTAGAACTGAGGCACAAAGGTATGAAGCAGAAGACATGGAGAAAGCCAGCTGGGGAGACCCTGCAAGGTGTCTACTCACCATCCTTTCTCTCCTTCTTACCAGAACCCATGGCCTGCTGAAAAACCCCACTTCCCAGCTATGGTGGTTATGTGACAGGGTGCTGGCTAATGAGATATAAGTGCAGAAGATGGGGCAGGGCTCACAAGAAGGAGTTTAGATTCAGCATGTGCACACCCTGTGCCCTTTGTCCTCTCTGGAACACAGACAAGATGCTGGAGGGGAAGAGGCCACCATGTGACTCCAAAAGGGTGAACATGAGGACAGAAGCACATGGTACAGATGCCTCAGGGAGCTGCCCACCTCCAGACTCCTTGTTACACAGAAACACACAAGAAAAAGAAGACCCTGAGTTAGTTAAGTTGCCTGTTCAGTTTCATGCCCCCGAACCAGCTCCTAACGCATAGACCAGCCATGCTTCTTCATCAGTGCTTCTCAAACTTTTCCACTAAAGAAACTCTGAAGATGGAGGAGGGTGAAGAGGATGGTGAAAATTGTATCCTTAAGAATCTTGTGGGGAGCCCAAGCAGCTTGAACTCTCTTTTTCTTAGAAATGCATGTGGATTTTTCCTTCTCCTTATAATTGGCATTTATTTTAATATATGATTAATGTCTTAACTCATTTACCAGTTATTTGGGGTTCATTTGTGCCCCCCAAAAAAGACACATTGATATATTAGCCCTCAGTACCTTAAAATATGACAGTATTTAGATGTAGGGTCATTGCAGATAGATGTAGTTAAGATGAAGTCATATGAGATTAGGGTGGTCCCTAATCCAATATGACTGGTGTCCTCATGAAAAAATAGCCATATGAGGACACACGGGGAGGATGACACATGGAGACGGAAGATGGGAGTGGTGCATCCATGAGCCAAGGAGCACCAAAGGTGGCCACCAAACCACCAGAAGCTAAGAGAAAGGCAAGGAAGGATTTCCCTACAAGTTTCAGAAGGGAGCATGGCCCTGACGGCACCTAGAGTTCAGACTTCTAACCTC